TTATGGAGTTAATTAAGCGACCAGCTTAATGCACCACACGTTTTCTAAGAGCGTCTTCACACCTAAATTCTCCATGTTCTCCAATAGTCTAGAGCACAGCACCTTCTTCCTGTATTTACTTTTGCTGCGTCGCCCGCGGTCACATCTGGCCAATAAACAGATTGACCATTCTCACGTGGTTTGCAGTGATGCATTTTGGTTCACTTGGAGTTCACTTGGATTTTTCTCTGTGTGAAAAGACATCAATCACAGGGAAAATTTTTACAAACTCATCAACTGATTTGGAAGAATGTAAACAAATTAGAGAGAAATGTGAGAAATCCGTAAGAATGATGAAGAAATCACTAGAGATATGTTTTGATGTGAATTGAGATAATAGATAAAATTCAAATCCAAACACAGAGCTAATGTGGTTATGTTCTATCCAATATCTAAATTAATACCTTTGTGTGCAGTTGTGGGTTTTTTTTTTACTTTGCCAAATATAAAGCAATCGAATCCTTGAAACACAAGAAGATATGGACAGAGGTCAGGACAAAGTGATAGATTGACAGCCATTTACAAACAGGGGTCATTCAGCAGGAACACAAAGGTGGAGGGAAACTAGAGATTGTTCTTTAGTTTTCATTTTGTATTTCCTTATGCTTATGAGTTTTTCCTCCTTCTGATGCTCAGGATTGTAGTTGTTTAGTTGTAGTTTAGGCATAGATGACTTTAGGGTTATTAGTTCCCTTTAGTGTTCCCATTTTGTTCCTTCAGTCTCGTCTTTGTGTTGGTCTTTTTGTTTTTATCAGTTCAGTTGTGGCTCTTCCTGTTTTATTTTGCTAAGTGTTGCTCTCTGTGTCTGTGTTCCTTGCAGTTTCCACTTCCTGTATTACCTTTTATATATTTTATCTCAGTCTCCCCTTTTCCTTTGTCGAGTACTCCTACTTAGCTGATGTTCCTAGTGATTACTAAGTTTTGGAACTCCTATTTTGCAATTCATTTGATAGATTCTGGACTTTGTTTATGCCCTGGACTATCACCATTAAAGCTTGCTTTGGTGTCATTTCAGGTCTCCTACGTCCTCACAGACTCAAGTATGACACAAACTTTTGCTTGTGCTCAGACGGCATTACATAGGAATCCGGGTTCTAAAAGAGCGTTCCTTCTCAACAAAATTCGTCAAGTTGTTTCTTCTGGCTAGGTCGTCAGTCAAATATTTTGTGGCTCATTTCTAAATGTTTAATGCTCGCGTTTGAATATTTCATACCCAGATCTGCAGTTTGATCCTCTTGTCATTCTTGTACACAGTCTTCACTTTGAAGTCGATGCCCACGGTGCTGACGAAAGCTGAGGTGAAGGCATCGTCTGCATAGCGGAACAGGAAAGACGTTTTGCCCACGCTGCTGTTACCAATGATCAGCAGCTTAAACATATAGTCAAAATTTTCCCCTCCCTCTCCTTTTCCTTTCGCATCCTGAGTGGCAGCCATCTGCAAAAACAAGGAAAGAGATTGGGGAGGGGAGGTTAATCCAAAGGGTTGGAAACAATTTTAGAAAAGTGCTTTTTAAGATGGTTCATATCTATTGACCACAAAGTAAAAGAGAGGGCTGCAGACAGATGCAGAGTGAAAAGTGCAAGCTTGTTTTACGAGGCCAGATCAGAGGTGACAGAAGGCTGTGTAAGGCAAACCAGCATGAGCAGCACCACAAGCTGTTGTATCGATGACTGTTAGATAACCAGGACTTTTAAAATCCTGATTTTTTCTTAAAATACTTTCTTTAACATATGAAGATGATTGATGTTATGGCAGAGAGAGCAAGGGCAATATTTCAGATTCAGATCTTTTAATGTTTAATTTTACACAACTCCTATTCATATTGTATTGACCTATTTAAACCTTAAGACTCACTGATTTTTTCCTCTGTGAAGTTTTCTTCTAGAAATTGACTTCTGTTTGATAAAAACGTCAAATCTCATCCCATATTACCACACACTGGTGTTATACAAAGGGCAGAGCACACATGGATCTTTCACCTTAGCAAAGCATCTACCCAAACCGTTTCAGTGCAAGCTGTCAGCAGCCAGCGACCTCCGAGGACGAGAGTACTACGAACTGGACGACACCAGCACAGTCATATCCGCCTCCAAGGTGAATGTTCCGACAAAGCCTCTGTGCCAAACCTGTGCAGTTATAAATGATGCCGGACCTCCATCACGCACAAGATCAGGACTTCCGTTCGCTTCCGCGTATGAAACAACACCACCGAGGAGTGTTTTTGCAAGGACACAGTTTTGAAAATATCGCTGCAACGATGTCATTTACACGCACCGCATAAAGCAAGAAGCTCTGCTATAAAATTACACCCCGCGGATGAGCGAGAAGCCGCATGCAGCTAGTGTTTCGGCGACCAATTCTGGGCAGGTCATTTTTATCTATCAATGAAATTCTTCCACGCAATTACGACTATAAGCTACAGAAAAAAAGAGAAGAAGAAGAAGAAGAAGCGTTGAGGACATTTATGTGAACAAACCTGTTTTTGGAGGCCTCGGTTCTATCTGTATCTGGCCCTGTTTTTTGTTTTATTTTTTTATTTTAGTAGAATGCGTTTTCTTTTAAATCTATATTAATATATGTTTATATCTGAATCTAATGCGGGCGCTGGTTTTCTTCCCCCCTCTGTCTCTCGCTTTCTCTCTGTGGAGCTCCGACCAATTTCAGCACCTGGGAGCTGTCCCCCTCCGATCTGGCACGCGCCCGCCTCTCACCCCTCCCCTCCACCCCGCGAGCAGACGAAAAAGGCTGGATCGCGTGAGCCGAGCACGAGCACACGAGGAGGGTGGAAAAGCAGGTTTCGTGCGTGTATGTGACGTCACAGTCACCCCGTAGACGGGGGTTGTAGTTTTTGCACCGGAGGAGAGCGGAGGAAAACTGCAGCATCAAAAGAAGAGATTTGACTACATTACTCAGCATGCAGCTCAGTCCAACTGTCACCAACTGAAATATTTAGAGAAAGAGAAAACCTTTGTAGTTCACCCTTTGACGGGCGTCAGAGTAACAGATAACAGTAGTCTATGTCGTGTACAGACGCTCCCTGCCATGCAAAATCAAGAGTGCAGGGATAAAAACATTTTATGGGTATCTGCTATAGTTTGCCTATATATTAAAAAATCGCGAATCTTACCTTCCCATACAAGTCCATTCAATTATCAGTTTGTTTGTCTTTTACAAATCTTTGTTTTACAGCTCTCTCTTGCATCCAATAAACTCCCGGCTCAGGAGCATAATTTCGTCTTTTTTTTCAGGAAGCAAATATAATAGCCTCTCCTTTTGCGTCACTGTCGGCCGGTTTTTCTGCCGTCCCCCCGCCCATGAAGCAAAAAAGCCCCACTTCAGAGAACAAGCGGCTGTGCAAATAAGAGCCTACCCCTGAATGCTGATGAATATTGTTATTGTGAACCTTTCGGCTCAATGAGTCTGGGATGAGGCCGCGGCGGAAATGAACAACAACAACAAAAAAAATCTTTGCAATTATAATCGCGCCTATAATTAGATGGAGCAGAGAGATTCACACCTGAAGTGTATGATCGTAATTAAACACCTATTTGAAGCATTTTAAACATATTTATTTTTATATAACAGCCTTAATTAGAGGCTTTTTTACGCGTTCACACCTGAATCCTAAGTGGCTTATCTTATACTACTGCGCCATGCGATACGCAGCACAGACCCAGGAGGCATGAAATTACCGTGGAGTACAACTCGGATTCAGTCAGAGCTCATTTGTCAGGCAGTAAGCAGACGTTTGATAGGGCGTGCGTGAAGTGCGTGAAGCGAGAGGGCGGGACATGCTGACTGAACGCTGTTTGACTGGACGATCTGTGCGTGCGTGCTACTGAGTGCGCAAGAGACGAGGGGGAGGGTCAGGTAAGGTAGACAGACTTAACTGTCAACAATAGTTGAGTTTTTCAGGTATTGTTAGAACTTTGCACATTTCTCCAGTCTACGCACACACACACACACACACACGGAACCGTTTGTCTGTCCTGCTGTGAGTGGGATAACTGCATGCGCTTGCATCGACTTCATCCAGAATCTAAAACTCTTATAATATGTCTGCGTGTCTGAAAGTAGCTCTTTCGGGATAGTTTGTACTGGTAAAACTCCTTGTTGTCGAGAATGAATAGGATTGTTGCTTCGAGTAGTTTCAGTGCATGACCTAAATGTTGTCAACATTTTTTTCTAGAAGGTTTGTGGGCGAGTGAAAGGTCACTGTAGCCCCACCTGCTGTCGGAAACGCTGCTCTGGTGGTATGTGCTATGTGGTGTGGAAATCAGCTTGCTTTATGGTCTTAATAGTGATCAGAGGAATTAAGTTGTTTACAAAGAGAGAATTTGAAATTATTTGTTATGTTGCT